TATAAACATTAGCGATTTATTGTTATGTCAAAAGAAAGTGATTTTCTTTTATGAGTGATAATGGTATGGTAACTCCGTTTGCGCGGGGGGAAAGGGATTGTTAGTAATGGGGTCTAACTGACCCATTGCTAGCAATACACCCTACCAGGTCCACCTCCACGCGGTTCCTCCTGGAAACCTTCGTGATTAATTCTAGTGGAATTCGTCACGATGGACTAATTGGCCTGCTTCATCCTCACCTATTATCCTTCACTGGTGCTCCGTCAACGTATACCGATAGCGCGGGTGAGGTTACCATTCCATTATCACCCATTAAAAAAATTCCGCTTGCGCTATTGGTATACGCTGCCTGGCTGGTGCCCCACCAGTGATGGTTGATAAATGCGGATGAAAACAGGTCAGTTAGTTCATAGAAATGAATTTATATGTAATTAATCAATATAACGATTTTGATTATTTTTTATTGATTTGTCACTGGAAACTCCCGTGGGAACCGCATGTCGAGGTCGACTTGATGGAGTATATTGCTACTAATGACCGCTAGTCCCAATTACTAATATTTTTTACTACGGCAACACTGATAACAAAATGAGAATAATTTAAAATGTATGTTTCCGCGTTCTTTTATACTAGGTACTAGCATATGAATTTTATTTCTATGATATTACATCATGGTTTATAACTGTTATTTGTTATAATTTATGTTAAATGAAGATGTACAACAGGCGAACTTAACTCTGTAAGAGTTCTCTTCCAGGGAACCTTGAGTGGAAAGGAGCGTCAATTAAATCTTCGTATGGGGTTTTTTTTAATAGGTGAAAATTAAATGGTAACTCCGCATGCGCTATTGGTATATAGCTATGGTATCATATTTAAATATTCTTGAGGTAATTACTCGTACTATCTGAATGAATGAATGAATGAGTATACTTTATTTGCATTTTACAATATAGGAAATAAGCAAGGCAATTTACAAACACAACGACACAATTGTATAAGTACAGTAAGGTGGTCTTATTGCTGAGAGCAATCTTTTCAAGACAACCTTAAGGTAATGGACTAATTGTTGTGCAAGTAGGTATGCTTGTTTATGCTAAGTTACCGCAATGTAATTATTATAATTTCTAAAAACTTCATAAATAAGCAAGGAATATATTTACCATTTTTTATATATATATATATATATGTATATATATATCAAGTAATTTTAGCATTTAGAAACAACATTAGGTTATAAATTTAATTACAAAATATACAAATTTTATAATGTAAACTCGACGACAAATCGAATTATTTCCCATTTTTTTAAATCTAAAAAAAAATACAAATAGTAGATTTTATGTTTAGTTTTCTGTAAAATTAACTACCAATTATTATCATATCATACCGTATCAAGCATTAAATGTCCACTGCTCAACATAGGTCTCCCCTAATAGGGGGTAAGTCAACCCTTGATAATGTTTTAAGAGGGCCCATCCTTTAACCATTACGAGTTCCTTTAGTCGCCTCTTACGACACCCATGGAAAAGGAAGAAGTAGCCTATTCTATGCTGGGACCATATATGTTATATTAAATTTTAACTATTAAAGTTAAACGTTAAAACATCACAATTTGGTCTTCAAATCTTAACCACTAATTTAACCATTGATAGATAAGTCTAAAGACAGTTTAACAGCTGGACATGCCGCGAATGGTTCAAAGTTAATGTCGTCGATCTACCCGCGTTCCTTTCGAAAAAAATATCTGGTTTTACGTAGAATACTTCTTTCAAAGTATGATAATAGTTTCGATTTTATATATTATATATTTCAATATAAGTGAATGCGTCCTGTATGTAGACCATAGCTTGTCATTCTCAATAAATTCATGGAACTCTTCAACTTCATTGCTTCCATTATTCATAATGCATACAATGGATTTATATGTCTACCTATATCTTGTCTGTTATTGCTTATATTTTGAGAGAAGATTCGATTATGTTAATATGTTTAAACGACCGTGTATTGACATGTTAGTTACATTTTACATAACTGCTCACGACGATGTGACTTTGAACCGATGTACCTATATGGTAATTAATTTTCTCATTTAATTTTATATTTTACAATTTATTTGTTTTGTTGTAGTCTTATGTCTTGATTGAAAATAGCAATAGTTGTTTTAATTCATAATCATAAAAAAGATAAAAGATGCACTATAATATTATTACACCACTTATGGTATTAATTTTTTTATATGTGTTATCATTATGGGGGATGAGCTTCCTGTCGAGATTTTCCCTAGATACTACAGTATGAGGTTCTTTTAAAAGGGTATATTAAAGTTTCTTCAGGGTTAGCGACGTGCACGTAATACCCCTAGTGTTGGTGTCCATAGGCTACAGTAATTGTTCACTGTCAGACGGGCTGTATGCTGGTTTACCACTTTTGTGGTATAAAAAAATCGCTTCTTAAATTAGAATATGCCTCTTGTGTTAGAGATCGTATTGTATGGATTTATCTTTCAGATTAAAGTAATTAAGGATAGGTACATTACTTTCATGATTAAAAAGAGTAAAATGGTGATTCTTACTTAATATTCTATCACTAAAGCTACCTAATCAGTTTATGATTAGATAGCTTTAGTGATAGAATTTTATTATTATAAAAGTCTTTAAAAAGACTGAGAAGTATCATTGCTTACTACATAATAATTTAGTCTAGCCAAGCGTGATATTGCATTATCTTTGCACGTCATTCCAGTAAGTAATGATTAGTCTCTTTAAATGACGATTCTTGTGGTTTCCGCTCTCCTGCTGACCACGTAGCAATGAATGATCACAACCTTATAATTGGTTACAATAGAGTAATTTGCACCTTGCTTGATGACGTTAAAGAGTTTGTAATTATATTTTCTGATTGATAATGCTCTTTCCGTGGCGTAATTGGGAACGTTATAAACTCTGACTACTACGATTTCTAGAGATATGGGTTGCATATGATCATGTTTATCAATTAAAAAATATTAAATATAAGATTAGCATATTGGATCAATACTTCAAACAATTTTTTTTAATAAACGTTAATTTAGTATAAATTCTGCCTATTGTGAAACTAGATGGCGCTATATCATATATTCAATGGTATTTATTATTATAATATTATTAATTCCAGCCGAACTAAAGAAACGATGAATCACAGCCGGCCGATATTCGGTTCCCACAGCGACACGTCCGCTATAAACTTGAAACATTTGGTAAGAACGATTGGCGTTCCGATGAATAATAATGTTTTTATAACTTCATAACAAAGTTGTGCCGTTGCATCCTAAATAATTCTAACAATGCATTATGGATATTGAATGAGCATGACACTAATTTTAGATTAATAACTATTGTGAGTCATACTCTGTTATAAATAACTAAATGCGGTATAAATAATATTAATTTATCATCATTCAAAATAAATTGTTATCAAATACTAATGATCAGCAATGGACTTTTAATAAATAAAAAAATTAAATATTAAAAAAAAAATGTAGACGCCAACAACTATTTTGTCGACGAATAAAAACAATATCTCTTCTAAGTTTCGGAGTAGTGGGAAAGGATTATTACAATCGTATATTGAAATTGATTTATATGAAACAGTTTAGCGTCAAATAACTTCTTATTTGATAATGCATGTAATATTTAATAAGTACCTTTCCATATCTAATGTGTGTAAAACTAATTGTGGAATGACTAAACTACTTAGATCTCCAAAGACAAAAACAAATGACGATGAAAGATTTCCGATTCGTGTACCAAACAGCACTTGTTTAGGTTCAGACAGAAATCAAAGCTAATGTTTGTAATAATAGACTGAATTAATCGCCACAAACAGTAGTATATTTGATCTATGAACTGTACGCAAACCAGTCTATTAGTATAGTTGGTTGGTATTGGCGTGCGTGTGCGCAGCTGGTGAAACGAAGGGAGTTTTATTTCAAATTATTGACTTGGTGAATAATTTAAAGATGTATTCTATGATTGTCATTATAGTTCGCTAGCTGAATACTTTTTAAATATTTCAATGTGATATCTACTGGTTTAACTTATGTATAAATTGGTCGATAAAGATAGACTAGTTTCAGGACCATTCAGGACCCTTAGTCTTGAGCGGCTCTGCCAAATTACACGTAAGTTAAACCGGTAGTTATTATATTAAAATATTATGATGTACCTACGAAACTTTTTTTTAAATATTCAATTGTTTTTGAAAAATGACAGATAATTAGGACGTCGCCATAGTTCGATATAAATTCTCTTAACCACAATTATGGGTCATAATAAATAACTACGTATTGCAATTAATTACTGTTGATAGTTAATCTATTAGGAGTCTATTAATTATACAATAAATTAGATAATAGAATTCGTTCCGAACGTAGATATGAGATAAAATACACAATAAAGCTCATTTCATTTCATATTTATGTACGCCACCCTAGGCTTGTGAATTCAACTCGCACTTGACCTGTTTATTGATCGGACTTCAAAAAAGGAGGTAGTTCTTTCACAGTTCGATCGTATGCTTCAACCGACTTCAAAAAATGAGCTGGTTCTGATTTTGATTGTATTTCTTTGTTTGATACCTCATTACTTCATCAGTTATAAACCGATTTGGAAAATTATTTTTTTAGGATATAGATTTTTTTTTAGGATAGGATAGGATAGGAAGGATATATCAAATTAGTCCCATAGGAATGACACATTGAACAGATACGTTGCTTTGCGTAAATGAGATCCCGGTCTCAATAACCGGTTTGGCTAGACCAGGGCTGGAACTTAATGTAGGAAACAAAATTTTCTAGATTGAATTGGGTCGGGATATCCTGAGTCCCTCTCCCAGATATTCGTGAAGAATACAGGATGACCTGGCATGAGAATCATGGAAGATCATAGTTGGTGTGATTGTATGGCATTTATTATTATTATAATAACAGTATATGAAGTTAATATTTTAATTTTCTTTTTCAGGTGACCGACCTTTTTGGACAGATGCGGGAGCCATCGCCTGGGGCGCCTAGCCCCAAAGACTCATCGGGGTCTTTAGCTAATGGGGCCGTTACAAAGAACATTGGGTTCCAACAGCAGAACACATCAGAGCTTCCATGGAGCAGTCCCGCCATATCACTGCCTGGAAATTGTAATAACAATTTGTGAGTTTACATGTTTATTAATAGGAAAATAAAAAATTTACACTTCATTTTTGAAGGGTAAGGCATAAAGCCTTAGTTTCCCAGGTGACCTCTATTGTGTCTTCGACTCATATCTTTAGACGACAGTTACCACTCTCTATCGTGTGAATTGTCAGGTTGTTGGTGGGTTTAAATTGATTAAAAACATGTAAATGTAAACGATACTTTCCCTTTGTTATTATTATCTGTGACTATTAGTAAGCTATCGTTTACAATAACAGATGCTGTTTACGTGATGCTAACTGTAATGGATATGTGCATATTATTGATTATATTATTATTTGGACTGAGTTTTGCATCAACATTTCAATCTATATCTATCTACTGCTATATCTTTAAAACATTCTCTGCTTTATCCGTATTCCTAATATCATCAAATCGCCCCTTTACTATTTACAAATTTACACGGCATTCTTGCATAGACAATTTTAAAATTTCAGAAAGAAGTTTACCTGAGGGAGACTTTGTACAAAAGTCGATTGCTTGACCACCTCTGTCCTATTCGTGTTTCAACCATGAAGCAGTTGTGTTTGCGTGACTGTGTTTTGGTTTGCAGGGTGGGATATGGCGTGAATTTACAGGGTACAGAGGACTAACATCTGAGTCCTCAGGAATGGCAACGCATGGCGGGTATCATAGGCGAAACAGTATACTCTGTTATGTCCATGGTACTGCTCATGTCTGTAGGCGACGGTTACCACTTTCCATCAGGTGGGCCGTCAGCTTGTTTGCCATTCTAAGTTGTATAAAAAAAAGTTTCAACCAAGCTCCTTGTATTTACATTTATCTTTCAATTCATTCTATTCATCAATATCTATTTATCTTTAAATTATTAATTATTTTTACAAATGGTTTAAGTTCAAAGGCAGATTAGATACTCTTTTTTGTTTACTCCAAAAGATTACAGTAGTAAATTGAATACAAACAATTATAACAAATATTCATACTGAGAAAACAATGGGCGATCTCATCGCTAAAAACAATCTCTTCCAGGCAATCTTTGGATGGAGAGGAGTAATTATAAACAGTTTGATCGGAGGCACGATTAAAATTTAAAGATATTGGACTATCTATAGTTTTTTCATTGTCATTTATTGTCAGCCATTGATTGTCCACTGTTGAACATAAGTTTTCCCATCAACTACCATAAAAAATATTGTAGTTATTTATCTTAGATTAAATGCATGCACCATAATATTGTTACAGGACAAGTGAACCTCAGTCTGGATTGGTAAGGAGTGTCAGCAATGCATCAACTCTAACTTCACTATGTGCTGATCTGTCACCATCTGACTCTCATTTTTTCGAGGTAACTTTTAAATATATTTTTTTTAATCTTTAAACATGTTCTTAAAATGTAATGGAATTGAATCATAATTAGATAGAAAATTTATTTGTACTATTTAGGGCACACAAATAGTGATAAACACAAACAAATATGTTTAAAAATAGAGAGAAAAAATATATATAAAAAAAGGAAAATAAATTCTCAAACATTTTGTTTCGTGTATGTGCTGTCACAACTCAGATCATTGCTTTGCCAAAGGACAAAACATTTATTTTCTGTTATGGCCAAAAAAGTAACTTCCTGTTTTAATCATTTCCAGTTAATTTAGGTTAATTTGTCTGCACAATCTTCGTACTTTAACAGAATACAAGTTTATACCAAGAAACTGGATAATTTTGTTGGAAAATGGAGGATTGAAATAAATTCCCTGATATGTCTACATTTGTTAATATTGTTTTGTTTAGAAAATATTTAACGAGGAAAAAAATATAAAAAAAAAAATGATTTGTCATCCATTTAACATATTAAGTAATTGACTTCAAAAAATCGGCACAAACGTGATTTTTATAAACGTAGTAATTTATTGATTTTACAATAAAATTTTGATATGCATTTTTCAGGTTTTATACATTGGAAAAGTTAGGATATCACAAAGAAAAGTTCCTGATTCTCTAATAGATGACGCATTGAACAAATTCGCACAACATGAAGCTGAAAAGATTAAAAATCAGAGACGACATAGCTTACATCCAACCTCCACAGAGGTATGTTGTATAAAAGACAATGATAACCAATATAAAGATTTATTATTTTATTTTATTATATCAAAGATAAAATAGAGCCTCTATTTGTTTTTATTTTTGGAAATTAATTTACTTACTTTGATTAGAACTTAGGTAATATAGACATTTTATATATATGTGGTATGTTTCTTTAGGATCAGCAACATGCAAGTGACAACTCTAGTGTTGCAGGTGCTCATTGGCTACAGTAACCGTTTACCATCAGACGGACTGTATGCTTGTTTGCCTCCTTAGTAGTACATATATAAAAAGAATATGTAAGTGGAAATAGAAATAAAATTTTCTTTGTATATATATACTTTCAGACGTCCGTTCATAGCAATACGGAAAACTTGGCTGATGAAAAAGAAAAACTAAAAAGTAACTTAGGTACAAGTTCGATTCCTTTAGAACCCGACAAAAGTATTATAAAGAAAACAAAAGTGGAAAACAATGAGATTGACAAAGAATTTGATATGTTTACAAAAGAAAGAGTTGAAATCAATTCACAAATGAGAAAAAGTCAAACATTAGAATCAATGTCTTTAAATATATCTAAAAATAACCTAGGAACAGTAACAGAGGATGAAGAAAAACATGATATACAATCTATAATAACTAAAACAGCATCGTCTATAACAAAATTTTGTGAACACACAATTAAAGATGTAAATAAAATTGAAGATAATATAATAGAAGAAAAAAGTCCAATATCTGAAAATAATAAAGAAAATACTGAGATTGATAAAAATGAAAATAGTTCGAGACAATTTACAGACCAGGTATCAAATAAACAAGAAGTAAATGAAAGTGGAAGTGAAAAAAACTCGTCAGAAAATAAACAAAGTTTAAATTTAAGTATAGAAAAATTCAATAAGCTATCCAGTTCAAAAATGTTAAATAGTGAAAATATCAAAAAATCTATGCTAGAGAATAAACCGTATTTGAGAGATAGATCAGCGTCTATTGGAACTTTAAATCTGAAGACGCCTATAGTTCAGTTAATTGGAGAACAAAACCGAACTATGTTGTTTCAGGTAAGTTTCTGTTGCTTCTAATAATATATTGGGGATGGTAGATATTTCTAATTTCAAGAAAGAGAAAGTTCTCAGTATTTTTTCATGTTTGTCTCATAAGTCTGTGGTTTCTTGGTTCTTGTCGTTGGTTCTTTTGCTGAATAAAATTTTAACCCTTCTTTGCATGATTTTTTTTATTGGCGAAATAAATCAAGGTGATATAATTAATGTTTAAAATTAAAGGACAAATGGTTAAAAAAAATAAATGTGACATCTATGTTTTTTTTTTTTTTTTTGCAATGGACATTAAAAAGGTATCCAGACACGTTCAACTTAAAGTATACTTGTTCTTTTATATAATTTTTGGGCATTCAAATTATGATGGAAATTTCCACCACTATGCAAGGAATTGTTAAATTGTACGTCTTAATTTTCATTTACAATTTCAGGTAGGTCGTTCAGAATTGCGACTTATTAGTCCAGATAGAAAGCAAATACTCCTCCACAGGGCCTTCAAGGACGTAGCGAGCTGTGTGCTGGGCCGCATCAACAAGGACCACTTCGGTTTTGTATGCCGGGAGGCCAATGACAGTTACGCTTGCTACGTTTTTAAATGTGAAAGCGATTCCGTTGCTACAGAAGTTGTTAATGGTAATGATTATTTATTATTTTTTCCTTTTTTTTTTTAATACAACTTAGAATGACAAACAAGTTGACGACCCACCTGATGGAAAGTGGTAACCGTCGCCTATAGACATGTGCAGTACCATGGACATAACAGAGTATACTATTTCGCCCATGATACCTCCCATGCGTTGCCATTCCTGAGGGCTCAGGTGTTATTCCTCTGTACCGTGTAAATTCACTGCCATATTCACCCTTCAAACCGAAACACAACCATGCAAAAACAACTGCTTCACGGTAGAAACACGAATGGGACAGAGGTGCTAAAGCAAACTACTTGTACAAAGTCTCTCTCTAGTATATTCTTCTTTACTTCCAGTGATAGTTTCCTTTTTTCTTTTTAATATCTTTATATATATTGGCAATTATGAATCTGTAATGGAAATTTATCATTTGTGTAATGTTTGCATTTATATAGTTATTAAATAAAGAATAAACGCTCATCGACTAATCACAAAAGAGAATATTTAAAAGATAGATTTTTTTGTGAAGAGTTCTTAAAGATTCTTATGAAAATAGAAGCAAATGGACAAGAAAAAATGCAAGGAGAATAGTATAAAAAGTCCTGTTTAATGAAAAAGATGTTTTAATCTCAACTTTTTTTATTTTCAGCCATAAAGCAAGCATTTTTAGCGCACGCAGAATTACTGAAGAAGTCCAGAGAGAAATCTCCAAATATGACATGCGAACATTGCCCAATGCTATGGTACCATAGACTATGCCATGATATAGAAGGTACACTATCGTGTATAATGTTGAAATTTTATGATTTAGTGTAGTAAATTTAAATTTCTATTCAAACGAAAATTTTAAGGCTTTGGATTTAAAAACCTTAAAATTATAGTTGAAAATAATTTCGTTTCTAAACTATATGTTAATTATTTTGAAGAAATAGTTGTAACGGTTATAGTTAGTTTGCTAGTAATATAAAAAGGTTGATGAACTTTTGGAAAAGATCAGGTATAATGTATGGAAATTTAACTTGTAGTTAAATTTTAACTATTCAATTTAAATCACTTCAAATAAAAAAAATATAATTTCAAAATTATGTAAATTAAGTAATTATTATGCAAATGCCCAGAGTATATTTACTTTTATTTGATTTTAATTTTTTTTTAATAATTTGTATAGAATCTTGTACTGAAATATTAATTCCATATTTATAGGTATGAATGAGAAGAAGACCCACGCCTTTATCCTCAGACGTATAGAACAACTGCCTGATGATGAACAAGACGTCATCATCACCAAATACCAAGGCGGCACCAACCATATGTACGAGGTAAAATTGTTATTATTCTACCTTTTCCTTTTTTTTTTATATCACTTGGCAAACAAGCATACGGCCCACCTGATGGTAAGTGGTTACCTGCAATTTTATATATATATTAAGGCTGTAAGACATGAGGATACTCCCTGTCGATTATGGTAGAAAGTGGTTGTGGGCATCATATTGAACAATTCCTCTGAGCACAATCCGTTGTACAGGTGGTAGAATACGCAGAGTGAGGCAAAATCTCTCCTAAGTTATACTTAATTATTATACTTAATTATAAAGGATAATATACAGTGAAATAATTATTTATTTTTACTAAACAACAATTTTTTTCAATTCAGTGGGAAGATAAAAAATATATTTATACTATAATTGTAATGTACTTCGTTTAGAAGTACGTTGTTTCTCTTTGTCTAATTTATTATTTTTACGGAATGAAACTACTCATTTGTTGGAACGTATTACTGGTCGTTTTTAGATATGAAAAACGCTATGGATGTCACTGGATTATACTGTACCTATTAAATCCTTTACTCTGTAATTTCCAACAAAGTCTTCCTCTGGCACTTTGTAACAATAATAAGTGTCATAGGATCATACAAATTGCTTGACCAGGGTTAAGAGCTTCAGGAAGCTTGGATCTCTTTCTTGGTATGGGGAGAAAGTATACCCAAAGAAACCGGGGGTGGAGAGAAGGGACTGACCTATTGTCATCCTCGCCTATCACCTTTCACTGGTGCCCCGCCAGTGTTTATCGATAGCGCAAACGAGGTGGTAATTTCATCATCATCCATTAAAAACCCAAAAAAACCTAAGCGAGTCAAATTAGAGAATTTTATTATCTGCTCGACCTTGGACTATTTAGGTAACGCGGGGACCGTGGGTGTCGTAAGATGCGATTAATGGAAGCGAAGGATGGGCAGCAGCGTCCTTGTTAAAACATCTCCAAAGCCTAACTGCGGTTGCCAATCCGCCAACCGAGGCAACTAGTGGCACCCCCTCCTCCCATTCCCACAGGGGAAGGGTTATGTACAGCAGTGGACAGTTAAAAGCTGATAATGGTGATGATTACCCAAATGAACCCAAACGGAAATCGAACCATGGACCTTTTATATGCAAAGTCTTCTGTAATATACCAACAGTGCTTCATAAAGTTTATCGTTGTAGGTAAGCGAACACAATGCATTCCTAATGATGCTACTTCGAGCCCACAGTGAAGCTAAGCAGCTGAGGCATATTCACGACACAGCCGAAAACAGGTAAGCAGACCAGTGTAATAATACAGGTGGAGTCAAAATCGTTAGCGGTATTTAAAAAGAAAAAAAAAATTTTTTATATTATAATAGATAGAGCATCGAATCTCAAAAACGGATCAACTTTTTGTTAGTATTTTATTATTAGTATTTTTTTTATTAGTATTCTATATACTTACACATAAAATGTATCTTGATGTATTATTTAACTAAATAAAATGAGTGTTTACGCGTTAAAAAGATGCAGAATGTACAAGACAAAATAAATATAGAAGTTATAAAGGAATCACACATAACTAGTTATCACGCAAAATCGCATGAAAAACTTGACCCGTTTTTCTCGAAGCATTTCTATGGAGACACTCTATCTATACAGATTATATGCATGGAATATATGACCTATTTTCTATATTCCCAAAGAGTGTTGACGTCAGGCAGGCGGCCGGTCGTAAAACTATAAGCCAAATCCTTTAGTAATATGTATAAAACCGTATTACGCCGACCCCAAATAATAATTGGATAAGGGTAGGAAGAAAGAAAGAAAGAAAGAAACTTTATTTTACAAGAAAGGAAGATGATAATATAGAACAATAAATAACAAAAAGTTTTAATAAAAAAAAAAAAATTGTCTCAGAAGTGGAGGTATGTTAGCGGTAGATCAATTTAATCGTGATCACAGTCAGTGTTACCAGGTTGAAACGTGGAGATAACCCAGGTAAATTAGGGGGAAAAGGATTTTTTTTATACAACTTAGGCCGACCACATACTCATTTGTTGTAGTATCCGGCCGTTCATATACCTTCCTAATGCTCCTCAAATATTGCGTCTAAATTACGCCCACAATTACCCTCTTGTATAGGCATTCCGTCACCCGTGTCCAATAGCGAGGACGGGATGCCTTAAATACTGTACCGCAAACAATCTTGGGTGGTTTTGTGGTGGGGTGGGATATGGCATTAATTTACTGGGTACAGAGGAATAACACCTGACCCTCAGGAATGGCAACGCATGGGGGGTATCATGGGCAAACAGTATTCTCTGTTATGTCCACGGTACTGCTCATGTCTATAGGCGACGGTTACCACTTTCCATCAGGCCGTCAGCCTGTTTGCCATTCTAAGTTGTATAAAAAAAATCCAATTTTTTCATAATTACAGATCAGAATTTCTCAACCAGTACCTAGGTGGCAGCACTATTTTCATGAAAGCAAAACGCTCGCTGTCCAGTAGCTTCGATCACTTGTTGAAGAGGAAGTCGAGCAAAGATGAAGCTGGGTTGGGTCTACCACAAGTTAGTAAGAAGGTAAGAATTTGAATATTCATATTGTATCTTTCAAATATATATATATATATATATATATATATATATATATATATATATATATATATATATATATATATATATATATATATATATATATATATATATATAACTTCTAGCAAACGAACTTGATTCTATTGATTATCTTAAGATGATATATAATGCATTTAAAAATACATACATAAATATCTGTCACGCCTGTCTCCCATTACACAACGGCCTAACCATTTGTAACCCTAACGTGCCGTAACCCTACGGGTTAGGCAGAAACAATGGAACGCCAAATGCTTCGATTCAAACAAACCTCTTTCGCTTCTTCCACATTCATCAATCTTTTCATACATGCTCGCCGGTTACGGGTACTTTTAATTTGGCCCTTCTTCAGCACGTCGCCTATTTGGTCAACATACGTCCGTCTAAGGCGGCCCTACCGACATCTCCATTCATTCATTTAGGTGACGGTTACCACTTTCCATCAGGTGGGCCGTCAATTGTTTGCCATTTTATGTTGCATAAAAAAAAATATTAACAGATTTTTTCAATTCGAAGTGATGGAGTTATGAGGTAATAAACATGAAAAATACCATCGAATTGAGAACCTGCCTACCCTAATGGGAGACAAGCGTGATGAATATATATGTATGTATGTAACACGAATAATGGCCTATACACCTTTATTTTGAATTTCTATTTCTATTTTTAAAGGAAGCTTCGCCTCTCTCTACTACCGCGGTGGAAACACCTTCAGAACCGCATACTGCTGAGTTGCACCCTCCAGAAAGTTCTAGAAGTAAATCCCAATCACCAGCTGCACGAACACAAAGCAGTGGTAAGTTATCTAACTATTCATTGCTTGTGACAGTTTACAGAAATTGAAAAAAAAATAATTATAAACTGTCTTAAAACATTGATTAATTTATATTTAGGGTTTTTGGAACAATTTTACTGAACTAGGTATTATCTTGTAGAAGTCCATATCACTGGTTATATTGAATGCAATTATTTTGTTTAATTCCGCTACCATTTGTATGTGTGACTGCCAACACTCGAAGATTGGTCACCACTATTACTACCAGAAGTTCCACTACCTTCCATATTAGCCAGCAATCTCTGACTGCTATTTTATTCACGCACGTTTTGCGATACGTGTTTCATCACTAACTGTCTGTCTGTCTATCTGTATGTTTGTTATAGAAACAAAAACTACTCGACGGATTTTAACGAAACTTGGTACAATTATACTTCATAGTCCTAGGCAGGTTATAGTATACTTTTCATCACGCTACGATCAATAGGAGCAGAGCAGTGAAAGGAAATGTTGGGAAAACGGGAGAAGTTACTTCATTTTTAAGCTTCCGTCGCGTGTGCAGCCTTAATGGCCACTTTTTAAAATGTTGTAAAAATGTCCAACCGTGCGACGCCGGGACTGGCCGCTAGGCAATAATAAATGCCATATAATCTAGTCCTCAAGCTGGGATATCTTTACCCTTATTATGAGGTATCAGCTAATTAACATTTAGGGTACAAACCAATTCAGTCAGACCCGAGCCGTTTTAAAATAAATTGTTTTTCTAAATTGACCCGAACGGGGATTAAACCTGGGACCTAATTTACCCAAAGCAATGTGCCCACCACTGCTTTACAGAGGTCGTTAAAATTAGTAAAAAATTACATAATTTACTCAATGCTAACTTTAGATTCACCATCGTCTCCGAAGCAACTCACCCCGCCTGCACGGGAAGACGACAGCGTGGAGAAGGAAGAACCCGGTACTCCTGTTAATTCGCCCATGATGGATATGTAAGTATAACTGCAACCGACTTCAAAAAAAGGAGGTTCTATTTAATTTCAGTGGACAAAAGTATTGTTACCAAAGGAAGGCTTAGAAGTCGTATATATGGCTATCTCTGTCCCACTCGTGTTTTGGCTATGAACTAGCTGAGCTTGCGTAGTTATGTTTCGATTTGAAGGGGATGACAGTAAAACCAGAGGGAGTCATTGTGTGAAAGTCGATTGCTTGCGTACCTCTGTCTTATTCGTGTTTCTACCGTGAAACAGTTGTGTTTGCATGGCTGTGTTTCGGTTTGAAGGGTGGGATATGGCGTAAATTTACTGGGTACAGAGGAATAACACCTGACTCTTCAGGAACGGCAACGCATGGGGACGCACCTTAGACACAACTGCTCTCCTTAGACACAAAAGTCTCCCTCTGGTCATTTCTATATTTATTTTGTTTTATAATTTCTGCATCCTTTTATTGTGTAAATACTCATTTATTAAATAATAGATACGTCAAGATATGTATATTTTACGCGTAAGTGTATAGAATACTGATAAAATAACGAGTCGACTAATTTAACAATAGCTGACAAAAAGTTAACCCGTTTTTGAGGCTCGATGCTTTATGTATATAATCTAAGATATACATATACAATCGAAATCTCTGAAAAGACCAGTGACATTCAGCTAATTTTTTAACCTTTTTTTTTTTAGTTTTCTGAAAGTCAACGATTCACGGCCGACTGCCGCTGAGTCAGGGACTGAAACGGACGCCACCTGGCGGCAGGCTATATATGAAAAAGTTGTACAACCACCGGAATTACAAACGGAAGGTATGTTTTGATCTAAAGTCTGAAATGATAATATCATTTCTTATAAACAGGAAATCAAGTTAAAAATAAGCTTGACGACACAACGTTTGTTATCTCCTATTTTTAGAAGCAAATTATTAATAATTTCATTAATTAATATTTAACGCTATCGATTATGAAGGTTTTGACCAGATTTATGTCAAGATTAGTATGTACTTTACTAGTTAGTTGATAAGAACTATTTTGCATAATCAATCTTTGATCATCATTTACACTACATTCATGTCACACGTGTTTCATCTCTAAACGAGGCATTATCAGGCAATTAATCGATCGCTGCTCGAAGTCTAGTGTTGCCCTTTCAGTGACTAGATTCCGATTGATTCGAAATTCGAATTTGAATACAATTATTTTGTTTAATTCCACTACCGTTATTATGTGTGTGACTATTATATTAGTATGTGTCATGTATTTTACTTTTAGGAGAACTGTCGTCGAAGAAACTCCTCAGTATACCAACAGCGCCACAAGGAAAAAGGTCCAAAGAACAATTACGACAATTGTGGAAGTTGGCCATAGATCAGACCATTCTGTTGGTTAGGATGGAGAAAGAGAATGCCAGACTTAAAGGTACGTGAACAATCTAATTTTAGGGCATGAAGGCAAAATGCTTTAAACCTTATAAGGTAATATTCAGTAGACAATGTATTCTATGATTTATAATATCATATCGTGGAGTTTGTCAATTAGATATCATTTTCCATCAGGCGGGCCGTCAGCTTGTTTGTTATTTCAATAACAAAAGATCTTGCATACTATATAAATGTGAAAATGACTATTGATGTTTGTTGATTAACCCCAATAGATAATAGAAAAACCAATGTTTATTAAATTTGGTATACCTACACGTACTAAAAGAGAGTTTGCTACATCTTAGCGCCTTAATGGCTTAACCAATTACTATGAAATTTGGTATACATATTTATATTATATTTATATATATTATATAAATTTAGAGGCTTTTTACGGTCAGTAAACATGACGGTCCACACGAACGAAGTGGTAAAAGCTAGTGGTTAATATACTTAACATGCACCGTCAAGATATTTTTGAATCTTATAATTATATTTTTTTTTTTTGATGGATGAAAATGCGTTGCCATTCCTGCCTGCGCTAATGTGTTATTCGCTCTGTACCCTGTAAATTCAGATATAGTATATATAATACTCATATAGTATATATAAGATGGAGAAGGATATAGCTTTTTATCCCGGTCAGTAAACATATCCCGGTCACACGAACCAAGTTGCAGGTAAAAGCTAGTGGTTAATATATTTTGAATCTTATAATCTAGCACAAATAATTATATATTAGTAAATCTAGTTTTTATTTGATACTGAAAATTTTGATAATAGAAATTTCTCGCAGAAATCAGTGTCCAAACTCATCTTTCTAATTATATATATTCTTTATTGTACTTAAAAAAAAAGATAAAGCCATTAGTTTAATAACTTGTTAGCGAGGGTGGGCTTGTTTCCAAAAGAGATCTCTTCCAGCCAACCCAGTGTAGTTAGAGAGAAAATATTTAGCGGATAATCTAGTGTAGGAAAGGTACAGAGAAAAAATGTATACAAGGTAATTAGAATACAAATAAAATAAACATATACACCTGGAATAACACCTGATTCCTCAGGAATGGCAACGCATGGGGGTATCATGGACGAAACAGTATACTCTGTTATGTCCATGGTACTGCACATGTCTATAGACGACAGTTATCAATATCCATTAGGTGGGTCGTCAGCTTGTTTGCCAGTCTAAATTGTATATAAATTATATATATAAAGTTAAATAGTGGGATTTCTATATGCTAGAAGGAAGTCTGTTCCACAATTGCAAATCAATTAATTGTACTATTTCACCAAACCTTCGATTCTAGTTGCTGACGGTGGTCTGACTTCCAACAAATATAGCCAAAAATTACCAGTGTTTAAATAAAAAAGTAAATGAAATTGATCACCAGAGCTACAATGCCACAAATAGATATACAATTAGACGAAAGCCTTAAATCTAGGAATTAAAAAATATACTCACTTTAGACGCTTTTGTTTTCTAGAAAGTGAAGAGTCATCAGCAGTTCGCCGTATAAAACTGGAGTACGCAGAGCTGGGCGTATGTGATGCTGGGGTGGTGCTCATGTGGGATTCCTTGTTATCCTCTAGGGACTCCTCCAGACAAATGGCCAAGGTTGACAAGCATATGCTGACTCAGGCTGTTATACAGGGTAAGAATTGAGTGAATCAATGAATATAACATCATAACCTTCAAGTAAATAGCATATTCCTTTTTAAAAGGCTGTCACACACCTGCAAAGTATATATATATGTGTGTGGGTGGGCAGTGGGCAAACGAGCATACGGCTCACTTGATGGTAAGTGACCGCCGTCCATTATCACCCACAACACCAAAGGCTTTGCAGGTATGCTGATAAGAATGATGTGGGATCAATACGCGGTCAGAATCTCAAAATCATTACAGAACTGTCGAAGTTATTTTGTAATATACACTTAAAATGGCCCTGTGGTCCCTACATAGAATAGGCCATCCCTTCCTTTCCCGTGGGTAAGGAAGGCTGGGCAGCCGACTAAAGGAGGGCGAAGTATGGGCAGCGTCCCTCTTAAAACATCTCTAAAGTTTAACTGAGGTTGCAAACTTGCTTGCCAAGCGTGGTAACTATTGGCAAAACGTCCCTAGATGGAAGCCTATGTTCAGCAGTGGATAGTTCAAGGCTGATATGATGATAATGCACTTAAAATGCACTTAAAATATATACCTAAGTAATTGGAGTTCCACTTCCTTACCGTATTGAAAATGAAGTTACATTTTTTTTTATACAACTTAGAATGGCAAAGAAGCTGACGGCCCACCTGATGGAAAGTGGTAACCGTCGCCTTAAGATATGAGCAGTACCATGGACATAATAGAGTTTCTGTTTCGCCCATGATACCTCCCATGCGTTGCCATTCCTGAGGACTCAGGTGTTATTCCTCTGTACCCTGTAAATTCACGCCATATCCCATCCTTCAAACCGATACACAGCCATGCAAACACAACTGCTTCACGGTTGAAGCACGAATGGGACAGAGGTATCCAAGCAATCGACTTTTGTACAAAGTCTCCCTCTGGTACATGGCCAGTGTATTCACCTTTACCTAAACTGGAAACTGAAGCCCACTTCCGTTTGTGTGAACAGGAGTACCCCGTACATGCCGCGGCGGCGTGTGGTGGTTCCTGGCGGAGCAGGCGGCGCTGCAGGCCGCGCCGCCGCCCGCCGCCTACCACGCGCCCTACCGGACACTTCTGGCTGGCCTCACCAAGCACCAGCACGCCATACTCATCGACCTCGGTACGTGTAGAACAGCCATTATGACCACTGCTCTTTCCATACTTTGGGATATATTTTTAATATGGGGTAATAAATTGCCACCTCATTGGTATAAAAAAATACGGCATACGGCCCACCTGATTGTAAGTGGTTACCCGTAGCCTATAAACGCCTGCAATACCAAAGGTATTACGCATGCGTTGCCGACCCTGAATAAACCTCCCTTTTGAAGAACCCCATGCTGTAGTCTCTTGGAAAAACCTCGGCAGGGAGCTCATTCCATAACCTGAGTATTCGTGGGAGAAAACATTTAGGTTGTAGGATTAGAGAGTGAACTCCCTGCCGATGGCGAGCCGTACGATAGTAGACAGTGGCCCTGGGTATAAAACAGTCGGAAAAAATGGATACATAAGACCAGTCCTTAAAAATCGCAGCGAGTGAGCAGTTAGCATCCTTTAAAAAAACGTTCTCAATTCAAAAGAACATTTTTTAAACAAATCGAAAAATCTAGATTCTGTTATTTTCATTTCATATAAACATATTAATTAAAAATCTCTTTCTTCTGAATATTGCTTAAAAATCTGTTCCGAAGGGTTTTTTTATGCAACTTAAAATGGCAATGGCTCACCTGATGGAAAGTGGTAACCGTCGCCTACAGATAAAGACATAAGCAGTACCATGGACATAACTAAGCATACTGTTTCACCCATGATATCCCGCATTGCCATTCCTGAGGACTCAGGTGTTATTTCTCTGAACTCTGTAAATTTACTGCCACATCCCACCCTTCAAACCGAAATACAGCCATGCGAACACAACTGCTTCACGGTGAAAATATGGTGTATATATTACATAAAAGAGCGTGTATGACAAGATTGATGAATGTGGAAGAAGCGAAAGAGGTTTATTTGAATCGAAGCATTTGGCGTTCCATTGTTTCTGCCTACCCTAATGGGAGACAGGCGTGACAGATATGTATGTATATGTATATTACATAAATAAATATCAGCTTGTATTTGTTTTAATGCATCAAGTATTTTTCTATTATGTAGCCAAATGAATGTTTCATGTTACTTTATTCAGGTCGGACGTTTCCAAAGCATTCATACTTCGCATCCGCTTTGGGTCCAGGTCAACTGGCCTTATACAACATATTGAAGGCCTATTCTCTACTGGATCCTGAAGTTGGCTACTGCCAGGGTCTCAGTTTTGTGGCTGGAGTACTGCTATTACATGTAAGTTTAGAAAACCAGTTGGTATTTTATGAAATATTCGTCTGAATACTCTTTTATTCATGTAAATAAAATTACAAATAAAATACAATTTTAAGGAAACATAAAATCGAAGCTCTCAGAAATGGTATGCTGATGATCACAGCTATTTTTGGCTATAAATGAACACTTATTTATATATATATATATAAAAGTGGATATATATTTATATTAGACATGAGTAGTATATGGACATAACAGAGTATACTGTTTCGCCCATGACACTGTTTTTCATGCGTTGCCATTCCATGAAAATGTTATTCCTCTGTAGAGAATTCACGCCATATTCCACCATTCAAATCGAAACACAACTGCTTCACGGTTGAAACACGAATGGGGACAGAGATACCCAAGCAATCGACTTTTGTGCAAAGTCTTCCTTTGTCAATAATCTATGATTGTTTGTATTTATTCTTTGCAGACTGAAGAAGCGGAGGCTTTTGGACTACTTCGCCATTTGATGTTTAGACGCGGTTTACGGAAACAGTATTTGCCAGACATGAGCGCTTTGCAAGTTCAGGTAATTTAGGAAGGTTATTACCTTCATTCGTTTATGATTAGTAATGCGGGCTACCAGTCTTATTGCTAGCAATATACCCTGTCAGGTCGACCTCCACGCGGTTTCCCCTGGAAACCATCGTGCTGAGTTCCATGTGTATTCATCACGATGGGCTGACTGACCTGCCTTTTTTCATTATTCACCTATCACCCGTCACTGATGCCCCGCCAGCGTATACCGATAGCGCATGCGGGGTTACCATTCCATTAATCATCTATTAAAAAAAAAACTGGTGTAAAAATTAATTTTCTTTTTGTTTTAATGATGGTAATGGCTTCCAGCTATACCAACTGTCTCGCCTGCTTCGCGATCACGAGCCCGAACTGCACGCCAAACTGGAATCCCTGGACATATCACCGGCACTGTACGCTGCGCCCTGGATGCTGACACTTTTCACCAGCCAGTTTCCACTTGGCTTCGTCGTCAGAGTATTCGGTGAGTTCACCAGGATCATTTGATATTTATAACGGAGGGTAAAGATAAAGGCATGCGCAGTAGGCATGGGTATTGGCACCATTCTAATATTAAAGATTTTTTCGATCCCGGATATTTAATTTTAGGTTTATTACTTTATTAATGGAGTTTCTAGTCTTATTAATATTGCATATGGTTCTATAAACTATTTATCTTATAACAAACAAGCTGGCGGTCCACCGGATGGAAAGTGGTAACCGTCGCCTATAGGCATGAGCAGTACTATGAACATAACAGAGTATACTGTTTCGCCCATGATACCCCCCATGCGTTGCCATTCCTGAGGACTCAGGTGTTATTCCTCTGTACCCAGTAAATTCACGCCATATCCCACCCTTCAAACCGAAACACAGCCATGCAAACACAGCTGCTTCACGGTTGAAACACGAATGGGGCAGAGATACCCAAGCAATCGACTTTTGTACAAAGTCTCCCTCTGGTGAACTATCTAGATTCAAATTTTACATTACTGGCTGGGGATAACTATTTACATTTATAATCTATTTAACACAAATTATTCTTATTACTAATTGTTTAGCCTATATTATCTACACTAATATTATAAAAAGGAAAGATTTGTATTTTTGTGTGTATGTATGTTTGTAATGAATAAACTCAAAAACTACTTTGCCGATTTCAAAAATTCTTTCACCATTAGAACGCTACATTCATCCTGAGTAATATAGGCTATATTTATTGCTGGAAAAGATTAGGGATCCTTACTAAAACTTTAGTAACGTAACTCAAGGTGTAAAAAAATGCTATAAAATATCTTTGGTCGCGTGCGCTGCAGAAACTATTGGTGATAGAACAAAAGTATGTTCTACAATATTGAAGAAAATATCAATAACTACAAAAAACTTCGCGATACTATATGTTCAACTATTATCGTTATGTCACAATGACCACTTTTTAAAATGTTGTAAAAATGTCCACCCGTCCAAAGTCGGGACGGGCCGCTAGTAGATCATATAGTCATCATAGGTTCTTAATATAGCATTACTTACTAGCGTTTAGTTTTCTAACTGTTTTTATTATTTTGCTACTGTATTTGAGGAATAATTGGCTCATTTTCTTATTTTTTATTATATTTTTATATAATAAAACATAAGAAAATTATAGATATTGGAATGGCGCCAATATTGAGTTCTTTTGGACATTTATGGCGGAAAAATAGTACATTACTGCAGCGGCCAGCAATTGAGGCATTGATGGACGAACGTGCAAATGTGGGCTGAGGCGTAGCCGAGGCACACATACGTGTGTCCATCAATACTTAGTTGTGGCCAAGGCTTGTATAGTACTTTTCTCAAACAATGCGCGGAAATCAAAAACACAATTTAAGTTCAATGACGAATAACGAACAATATTAATTTTTCACGCGCCATAATGTTCCTTTGTTTTTTTTTTAATAAACAGCTTTCTATTTGCAAGCCAGTTTTAAATTTAAATAAAACCTTTTATTAGTTACCTCCTTGGTAACCATGTTTCGAAGTAAAAGGTTTTTAAATTACAGGACAGATATGAGTTTACATAGTAATTTATCTGGCCGCAAAACACGACAGATATGGATTTTCATACAACTTTTACCAGCCGCTGCCCGCATGTATCTGGCCAGTACGGCAATTTTGATTTATCTCTAAGAAGATGGTCAAAATAATGCTCACATTTCCAAGCATGTTTGAGAAAAGGTCATTACCCATTCCGATATCATCCGTAAAGGAACTGGATATGAAAATGGATAGTTCATAGATGCATTGTATTTTTTCAGATCTGATCTTCCTAGACTCATTCGATGTAGTATTTTCTATCTCGCTCGCTCTCCTCTCTATACATAGAGATGGGCTGATGCTGTGTGAGAGCTGCGAAGAAGCCGCCGAATACCTGAAACACAAGATGCCCGACATGGATAAAGGGATTTATGAGAAAGTGATGAAAAAGGTAACACACCGTAAAGCTTCACCATAAAAAATTATGAATATTGAACCAGTTTAAAACGACTCCAAAAGCAAGAGGGTTATTTTATGCAACTTAATAAGGTGACAGTCTGATGGAAAGTGGTAAACCTCGCCTTTAGACATAGAAAACATCATGAACGCCACAAAGTACACTATGGCATCCATGGTACCCCTGTTGCCATTCCTGAACATTATGATGTCCCTGTAACCTGTGATTTGTAATAAATTAAAAAAAAATTGACCAATGGATGTTACTAGTTGATAACATAGTATTTTATGAGTGAAAGTATTTGTAAAAGCGGTCAAGTAGTTTTTCAGTTTATTCATTACAAACGAAGCATTAAATCTTTTCTGTTTATAATAGACAGCGTCATGAGACACATGTCCTAGCGGTCCTATATAATGTCCTTAATGATCCCAATTCTCCTTCCTACCTTCGTTCCCGGTTCCAATTGTTACCTCCTCCTTCCAGACCTAGACGTCTTTGTCTGAACCAGCCCAGGGTACTGAAGCTTCCCAGCTGTAAAACACATTTTATGGGTAATTCATTTGTATATCGTGCTGTACAGCTGTGGAATAAACTTGCCATGAGTATTTAGAATAGCCCGTCTAGCAGTTCCTTCAAAAAAAGATTAAAATCATTCTATCTTTCCAATTTAGTTTAAATATAAAAAATGATTAGAAGGCTATCATCATTGTGTTCTCTTGTATTTGATATTTATATATATATATATATATATATATATATATATATATATATTATATATATATATATATATATATATATATATATATATATATATATATTATCGATTTAGTTTTAAATCTAATTACAGATTCATTCCCTGGATATCAGCCGCCAATTGAACGATTACGCGGTAGAGTATGCGGTACTCAGAGAGGAGATGCCGAGACTGGCCACCCTCACTGAAGAGAACAGGCACCTGTTGGCTGACAATAAAAGGATGTCTGATGAACTTGATGTGAGTATACTTGTTACTAGCAAACAGCCCCGGCTTCACACATGTAGATAGTTGAAAGATAAATTAGTATGTTCTATTAAGTTTACTATCATAATCTTTTGGAGGAAACAATAAAGAGTATCTATCTATATATGCTTTAATAGGCAAATTTTTTGGTACTTTGGTTGTTTTATTGTATTTTACGTGGAAATCTCTAGTGTTTTTGAAAATAATAAAAGAATACATTACTAGCTTCCTACAAGTAAAAGAATTTTGAAAATCGATTGTGTAGTTTTGGAGTTTATCCATTAGAAACAAACAAATTTACTTTCTCGTTTATTTAGTAAGAACTGGTTAATTATTAAGCCATACCCGCAATTTCGTTTGCATTATATTTGAATTTTTATACACATTTGAGGGTAATATCAATTTGCACAAAATGCCCGCTCGAAAGATTCAAACAGAAAATCAAACTATTATAAATTTTCTTCCTATATCTTTCAGTCTGCAATGGACGCCATTACAAATTACCAAAAAGTTCAAGCGAGACTCGAAACTCAAAATAAAACTATGGAGCAACAGCTCACGCTACTCAGCCGGTACATGTCCGCCTATCATAGACAAGAAATGCCACCAGAGATAAAGAAAATAATCCAAACCTACAGCAAAAAGATATCTTTTAGTTCAAAAATTAGTTCTTTCTCATCAAAATTCACCTCCAACGATGATGAAGAGGAAAAGAAGATTTTCAAAACCGGTTTAAGTGCTCCGAATTTGTTCTCCAAAATATCTAGAGAAGAGGTTCTCAACGCAGCTAACATTGAGAAGAAGCCGGCAGAAAACGAAAGAAAATTCCTCATGAAGAAATCCCAATCGGTCCACTCTGGACTGATTGGTAACAATCTGAAGAATTATCCATTGAGAGTGTTAGATGAAAAGTCGGAATTAGACCAGAAAAAAGATACCCTGAACGATAATCTCCAGGAGTTGGGTCGAAAGAATTCTGGATTCTTCGCCAGTACCCACGAACAAATTCGACAAGAGAGATTATTCGAGCAGCAACTGAAGCACGATTTTGACGAGAACTTGAAGAGATTCGACGAGAGGAACACAAGTAAATCGTTTACGGACGATTTGAGCTTATTCCAAAGTAGAAAAACCATGTCTTTGAATTTGAACTCTGCGACGAAAACTCAGGAAGTAAAGTTGAATGACAGCGGTTTTGTTACGCCGTTGTCTCCTAATGAGACTGATCGAAGAGACGATTGCGCTTCGACCATTTCCCACCCACTCAGCGATTGTGACGTGGACATAATATTTGATGGACAATCGACTAAATTGAAACAACTAGGGCCGATAAAACAACCAAATAGTATTACTGATAAGTGATTATTTTCTTATGTATTTTTAATTCGTACAAATTTTCGAAATTAAATTAAATTTTGTGATGATTGATTCTTGAACAGGTTTTAATGGAAGTGGCAAATACAATAGGAAATCCAGCGTTACTTCATGGAACTAAAAACTATCCCATATAAAAAATGTTAATAGAATCTATTTAGATAGTCTAAATGGGTTTAATATTATTATAAGCTCACGCCTTTTCTGTTTGGGGTGAGCAAAAACCAGACATCGTTGCTTACATATGTCTTGACTTACTTCTCTAGCTTCTTCTATATTCACACACTTTATTACTAAAACTACTTTATTTCGGCTATTATTAATTTGAAATTTCTTTAATATATCTCCAATTTAGATACTACAAATGCGACAGGTGCGCCCCCTACCGACTTGCTCAGTTACCTCTCCGTTATATATCTGTTTCTGTGGTTGTTTGCCATTCATTCTTTAAATACACCTAATCCTTTATAACACTTCTTACTTCATCCTAGTCACTCTCACTACTTCTCTCCATTTAATGACACTGATTCTCTATATTATCTATGGATTTCTAATTGTTGCACGCTTTTCGTTAAATCCTATGTATATATTTATTGTTTGTTTGATGTTTTGATGAATTGTTAAATATATTAGTTACTTATATTAATTTTGTATAATTCGGTGCAGATACTTTTTATTATTATAAAGATAAACGCTAGTTAAAATGATTGTTAAGTTGCTAAGTTAAAATGATCTTTCCTACGCTATCCATTATTTAAGTTTCTAGAATATCAAAATATCAAAAACTAGAAGTGTGTAACTTTATTCACGCGAAATTACAATAAACACACTTACTTATAAAATTCTTCCTATTCTCCGTATTTATATTTTTTTTTATGGGTGAAAATGGTATGGTAACCCCGCCTGCGCTAACGGGATACGCTGGCGGAGCACCAGTGAAGGGTGATAGATGAGAATGAAAAAAGTTAGCCCATCATGATGAATTCATCAGGAATTAACCATGATAGTTTCCAGGGGGAACCGCGAGGAGGTCGACCTGGTTGATATTGCTAACAATGGGATTCTCAGTCTTCATTACTAACAATCCCTTTCCCTCCGCCTTATCTATGTTTACCAGAGAGAGACTTTGTACGAAAGTCGTTTGCTTGGGCACCTCTGTCCCATTAGCGTTTCTACTGTGAAACAGTTGTTTGCATGGCTGTGTTTCGGTTTGAAGGGTGGGATATGGCAGTGAATTTACAGGGTACAGAGGAATAACACCTAAGTCCTCAGGAATGGCAATGCATGGGGGGTATCATAGGCGAAACAGTATACTCTGTTATGTCCATGATACTGCTCATGTCTATAAGCGACGGTTACCACTTTATCAGGTGGGCCGCTTGTTTGCCATTCTAAGTTGTATAAAAAAAATATTTTGTGGTAATTGTGCATTAATTCCTTGTATAATATTAATAAAGTGCCATACAATCATACAAATTGTCTGGTCCTCAAGTTAGGATACTTTATTTTATGACGGGGTATAACCCTGAAAACTTAGATCTGAGTCAATCCAGAAATCTTTCCTACTTTCCCAAAAATTTTCTAAAGTTTCCTAATTTTGACCTACTAAGACTCTCGATAATCCGGGCCCATATTTATGCAAAGCAACATGCCCTACGTTGTGTCTCGGAGATACGTATGTTAGTCTATGGTTTAATAATTATTATTATTATTTATTTGGACAACATAAGGTCCATTTTGTTAGTTATAAATTCACTTAACCTATGTTAGTAAATGAGCAGTCATGACGCTCTTGCATTGATGACCTGTTCCACCCAATATTTTAGAATGGGAAAGTCCGTTTTCGTCACAGGCAATTGTCTTTAGGACACTGTTTGAGCTAAAACGCATTCTACCTGAAAGCGAAATAATTCGCGCCGTATTGCCTAAAAATCATCAAAAAAGTGCAAATATGTGTGACTCACGACGTGATAGCCCCAACGGTGCCTTGAAGGCATTATTATATTGGACTCGAAGAGCATTTTTTTTTAAACGGTAATGGAATGGTAACCCCACCCGCGCTAACGGTATACACCGGCGGGGCACCAGTGAAGGATGATAGGTGAGGATGAAGCAGGTCATTTAGCCCATCGTGACGAATTCAACAAGAATTGGCCACGATGGTTTTTTTTTTTTTTTACAACACAGGGGGCAAACGAGCATGCGGCTCACCTGATGGTAAGTGACTACCGCCGTCCATGGTCACCCACAACACCTACGGCATTGCAGGTGTGCTGCCGGCCTTTTAAAAAGGAATATGCTCTTTTCTTGAAGGTTATGTTGTCGTATCGGTTCGGAAATACTGCTGCTGGAAGTTGATTCCAAAGAGTGGTTGTGCGTGGAAGAAAGTGCCTTGAAAAACGCACGGTGGAGGACCGCCACTCGTCCAGATGGTTGGGATGAAATTTTAGTTTATGGCGGGTTGTACGATGGTGAAAATCTGCAGCAGGTATCAATCCGAACAATTCTTCAGAGCACTCCCCATGATAAATTCGGTAGAAGATGCACAGAGATGCAACATCTCTACGCAGTTTCAGTGTGTCGAGCCGGACAGTAAGACGCCACGATGGTTTCCAGGGGCAACCACGTGGAGTTCGACCTAATAAGGCATATTGCTAGCAATGGGGCTGTCAAACTCCATTGCTAACAATCCTTTTCCCCCTACATTTGAAGAGCATTGTAAGATTTCTGATTGTAGTCGACTCACAAGCTACTCGTAATGATACTTCATGCTAATTTGCACAAATCATATATGGCATTTTGATTCGAATCTTTATTTTAATCGCAAATTAAATTAAAACATTAGTTGGTTATTCGATTAGAATTATTTTGTTTAATTCCGCTACCAGAGGGAGACATACATATCTGTCACGCCTGTCTCCCATTAGGGTAGGCAGAAACAATGGAACGCCAAATGCTTCGATTCAAACAAACCTCTTTCGCTTCTTCCACATTCATCAATCTTGTCATACACGCTCGCCGGTTATGGGTACTTTTGAGTTGGCCCTTCTTCAGCAAGTCGCCTATTTGATCGACATACGTCCGTCTAGGGCGGCCCCTACCGACATTTCCATTCATTCTTGCTCGACAAATCTTTTTCGTAATTCTTCTTTCATTCATCCTCTCCAAATGACCAAACCAACGCAACATTCCTTTTTTGATTTTTGTCACTACATCGTCTTTCAGTCCACACTTCAATTACTTCACTTACACTGAAGTGTGGACCAGAGGGAGACTTTGTACAAAAGTCGATTGCTTGGGTACCTCTTTCCTATTCGTATTTCAACCGTGAAGCAGCTGTGTTTGCATGGCTGTGTTTCAGTTTGAAGGGTGGGATATGGCGTGAATTTACTGGGTACAGAGGAATAACATCTGAGTCTTCAGGAATGGCAACGCATGGGGGGTATCATGGGCGAAACAGTATACTCTGTTATGTTCATAGTACTTCTCATGTCTATAGTCGACGGTTACCACTTTCCATCAGGTGGACCGTCAGCTTGTTTGGCATTCTAAGTTGAATAAAAAAAAAAAATTTGTATGCGTGCATTAGTCATTTACAGTCTGGGTGTCGAAGGGTCAACACTAGACTCAGAGCAGCGATTTATTAATTTGCCTATAGATTCCGCGTTTAGAAGTAAACCTCGTGTTGCAACATGTGCGTGGACTGAATACCGGTCGGAGATTAATGGCTTTTTTTTTATTTTACTAATAATGATAGTAATTAATCCTCAAATGTTGGCAGTCGCTAGCATGTTAATGGTAGCGGAATTAAACAAAATAATTCGAGTCAAATAACCAGTGATATGAACTTTTGTCAGTTCATATTTGACAGAATCACGATATAAAATGTTACAGTTTTGTAACATTTATATTTAGAAATCTGTAGAAATTAGCGCATTCACTGTGTGTATTTATAATTAATTATATATTTTGTGAAAAATTAAATATATTTTTGTTACGTCTCTTTTAGTGGATGTTGTTGAACATTTATGTGAATTGTAAATTTTGCTCAAAATTATATATATTTATATATGTTTATTTTTTTTTCTCATCAAATTTGATATTATTATTGTAATTAAAAGCAATTGTTGGCTTATTAGATTGTAATAAAAACATATAATTGTGATTATTTTTTAAAAATATAAATAATAAAGGTTTAGTGAAATTTGTTTAAGTATTTATTTTTTTTACCTGAAATAAGTTAAAAGGTTTATTTATTTATACTTTATTGTACAATAAAATTTGTACATATATATAAAATTTGTGAATTATTTTTATTAATATTCACAAATTATTACTAATGTCATTATATACAATATATACAGACAAACTTAGGGATATTGTGTATATCTACTATGTATTTCATCTGAATACAAAAGAGGCAAAAAATTTAAAAAATGACATAGATTACGGATAAATTATTCATCTGAGAATTTATTTTTAATGGATGATAATGGAATGGTAGCCCTGCCTGCCTGTAGGAATACGCTGATGGGGCACCAATGAAGGATGATAGGTGAGGATGAAGCAGGTCAATCGGCCCATCGTGACGAATTCAACAAGCATTGTTCACGATGGTTTCCAGGGGGAACCACGTGGAGGTCGACCTAATATGGCATATTACTAGCAATGGGGCTGTCAAACTCCAGTGCTAACAATCCCTTTCCCCCTTTATAAATTTATACTCTTAATATCATTGTTGTATCAGCCGGTAACTGGCCACTGCTAAATATAGCCCTCCCCCATAAAGGGGGGTTTGCAGGTAGTTGCCACGCTTGGCAGGCAGGTTGGCAACAGTAGTTTAGCTTTTGGTGATGTTTTAAGAGAGACGCTGCTGTCCATCCCTCGCCCTTCTTTAATCGCCTATAGGGGTGGCCTATTCTATGCTGGGACTAACAAGGCTCTGTCATCTAGTATAATATTATCATTATAGAGAAGATATTAAGTAGTTCTCAATTCCGTTGTTTTTTTTTTATGTTTGTTACCTCATAAGTTCGTCAGTCATATGTTGTTTTTGGGTAACACTTTTTATCGGAAACGATTTACAGATTGGTCCAATAGAAATTTTATCAAAATCGGTTCAGTATTTGTTAAATCGAAATATTTTAACACAACTTAAGTGTTTTTTTTTTGTGGAAGCATAATTTTAAATTATTTAGATACTATTTAACTCACCATATTCAGGACTCTATAGTAAAAATAAAAAGCAATACTTATAGTACAGATTTGCCCTTCCGACCGTCTATCACAGCATTTCAGCAAAAACTGTATAATTTTCATGAAAAGAATCTCTTTTTGAAAGCTACTGTACATAAATATATGAATAAATAAATGACAACAAATAAATAGCGTCAAATTTTTAGCAATAGTTTTATAACCTTACCTAAATTATAAATTTTAAAGTGGTAAAGAAATTTTAGTGATTTTTTCTAATTTAATTTCATATCTAAATTCTAGTAAAATTATTTTTTCGGATACGGATATCCATTATGCTGAGCATTCATATTATGGAATCCAGCACAACACTAATCTATACCTAACCTGCTTTTTTAAACTATATTCAGGTTAATTTATATTACGTTCACTTTGACAGTTTTTTAATACATAATACATTCATGAAGAACTAGAGTCTAGTTAATCTTGTATCTGTGATTATTATACAGTCAAGTTTATATATATGTTATATTCGTAAATAATTTGCGTACGTTGAAAATAATAATAATGCCCTCATTGGAGATACCTACCAGTATTAGTACTTCTGTTGAAGCTCACAAAAAGTGGCTGCGAATTGTAGAAGAGGCACAGGTTTTAGTGGAAGAAGATAATGATCTACAGGTACTTCTACATTATATTTATTTACTTATTCCTTATTCACTTATTTACTTGCTTGTTTACTTGCCTATTTGCTTGCCTGTTTACTTGCCTATTTACTTGTCTATTTACTTGCTTGTTTACTTGCCTGTTTGCTTGCCTGTTTACTTGCCTATTTACTTGTCTATTTACTTGCTTGTTTACTTGCCTATTTGCTTGCCTGTTTACTTGCCTATTTTCCTGTCTATTTACTTGCCTATTCACTTGCCTGTTTATTTACTTATTTACTTGAGAGAGAGGAGCTTGCGTAGCCAACTTTTTTCTTAACGGAACAACAAATAAGTGTCGTCTACGTGCTCGCACGTAGTTACTGGTGCCCCTATTGATATTGATACCAGCATGGTTACATTTTTCCTCTCGTATTAATTTTAACACATAATCTATTAAATTAAATATATAACACTAGATGTATCCTACGGAGTTACCCGCGTGAATCAGTATGTGCTAAGTTAGAATATAACCTATGCATGTACCAAATTTCGTTCATATGTATTCAGTAATCGTTTTTGCGTAAAGAGTAAGAGACATTTATCCATCCATAGATCGTTACAAACTTTAGAATTTTTTACGCTTATATTATTAGGATATTAAATCACATCAGTCTTTAACTGTCCATTGCTGAACATAAGCCTGGGGGGAGGGGGGTTGCCAATACTTGCCACGTTTGGTAGGCGAATTGGCAACCGCAGTCAGGCTTTAGAGATGTTTAAGAGGGACGCTGCTGCCCATCCCTCGCCCTTCCTTAATCGGTTCTTACGACACCCACGGGAAAGAAAAGAGTGGCCTATTCTATGCTGGGACCGCATGACCAAAGACATTAAATAACATATATAAAAAGGATATTTTGGATTAGTTTGCATGTCATTATTCTATTATTGCTTGTCTTTTTTTAAGGAAAAAGCCGCTAAAGGCCTTCGTCTCAAAGAGCGTAACCTCGCACCGGAGGTACTGGGCCGTATGTACGCACAATATTGTGTACATATCAACTGATTGTATGATGCTTATTTGAATAGTGTTCACTTACAAAGGGCACCGTATATGTTGAAAATCGTTAGTGTCTTTTTCAAAAGGTACGCTTACATCATAATCTATTTATACTACAAAGTCACTGATGTATCGAATAGATTAAATAATAGTACAGATTTTCTATTCCATTGTTTGAGTGTATAATATCAGAGTGTCTGAAAATCCAGTGTTTAAAAGTTCAGAGTACGAGTGATTGATGTCCGAGTGTCTGATATCCGAGTGTCCATTGTCTGAGCGTTTAGAATCCAAATGTCTAATGTCTGAGCGTCTGATATTCGAGTATCCAGTGTTTGAGTATTCGAGTGTTTGAGTATCTAATATCAGAGTGATCGAGTATCCAAGTTTTTTAGTATCCAGCGTTAGAGAGTCTGATGCCAGAGTATCTGAATGTCCCGTGATTGAATGTCCGGTGTCTGAGTGTATGATATTTGTCTGATATCCGTGTGTCTGAATGTAGTGTCCAAGTGTCTGATGCACGAATGTCGAAAAACAACATCTATTCTCAGACCTACCCAATATGCATACAAAATTTCATAAAAATCGGTTATGCCGTTTCGGAGGAGTTTGATAACAAACACCGCGACACGAGAATTTTATATATTAGATATTAACTGAAAAAAAAATCTGAATATCTCTAACGGAATTTATTTTTGGCATTTACCATTAATTTATCTCAATAATTGTTGGAGTAAGTACAATTTGGAACAAGTACTCAGTTTGATTGAACTTTATTACAGATCGTGGTTCCGTATCATATTCCTTTGGAATGTAGACCATCCTGGTCTATGGAACAAATTTTCCAAAAAATGTGGTGAGAAAAAAGAATAGAAAGCCTAAAAAAGTGGGTGTTATATATATTCATTGTCTGTAGAAGCCATGTTTTCTGAAATTTTTGAAGGATTAAATTGTTAGATTTTTTTTTATACAACTTAGAATGGCAAACAAGCTAACGGCTATAGACATGGAGTACCATGGACAGAGTGTAAATACTGTTTCATGCGTTGCCATGAAAATGTTATTCCTCTGTACCCAGTAAATTCACGCCATATCCCACCCTTCAAACCGAAACACAGTCATTCAAACACGATTGCTTCACGGTAGAAATATTTAAATGTACAATGTGATATGTACTTTAATAAACTGTGTCCAAACAACGTTAATTGTTCAGAAAATTGTAATGAAGCACTTTATAAATTCATTGGCTTTTATAGAAGTTTAACGAGAGAGCTGCCCGGAAGTAATCGTGGAAACGAATATCACAGAGTGAAAAAAGTAAGGTGAATATGTAGGTTTTTTTTTACTGTTAACAAAATTTTTGTCTGTTACTTCAGTCACGTGAATTTCAAGAGTAGAAAGACCAATGAAAGAGTTCTACTTCTAGTGGTTTCACTAGTGGTACGTCCACTAGTGAAACCAGTTCTAGATGGTACGAGTATATCAAGATAAAACATACGCGATAGACTTTCAGTAATACATCTGTGAAAACCGTATCCAATTTGGTGCAGTAGTTTTTCGTGATGCCAAAATAAATATTTAGACAGATAAGCAGAGATACAGACAGATGGAAAAAGGTACTAAAAATTATAATTTTGATGTATATTCAGTCTTATATTAAGACCCCTCATCTCGTATAGTTTTCTTAAATATCGTCTCTCCCATTCTCTCTATCTCCCATTATCGTCTCGTCACAATTTTTTTTTGATAGGTGAAAATGGTATTGTAACCTGGCCTGCGCTAACGGGATACGCTGGCGGAGTACCAGTGAAGGGTGATAGATGAGAATGAAAACAGGCCAGTTAGCCCATCATGATGAATTCATCAGGAATTAACCATGATAGTTTCCAGGGGGAACCGCGAGGAGATTGACCTGGTTGGGTATATGGTATTGCTAGCAATGGGATTCTCAGTCTCTATTACTAACAATCCCTTTCCCCCCAATTTTATTATATTAGTAAGTACAGTAGTAAGTGCTTTATAATTCAAATTACTTTAATAATAATTTGAGTATTATTTAATATTTATTATTGGGATAATACAAAATGAGGAATATTAAAATTCCTGTAGAATTTTAATTGCTATTTAATAAAACAGTGATAAAATATACATATATAGTTCCAATATTTGAGTGAGACCCATAGATTGAAAAGCTAACTATCAAAATCGGATTTGAATTAGGGAAGATATTTCCTAACATAGACATGCACATTAGAGGAAGACCTAAAAAGACATAGATGGACTGTGTGAAAGATAATATGGTCAGAATGGTAGTGAATGCGGAAATGGCTGTGAATAGAGAAGAATGAAAAAAAAAAACATATTACGCCGACCCTAAAGGGTAAGGTTAGCAAGAGAATTGGGTAACGTACAAATAAAAATAACTGTTTTTGTAAGAGTCGCCATTATTTAAATTTTATGGAACAAAAACTTTAGGTAGATATTTCTGCATATTCAGGCGTTGTGAGGATTAGCGTGAGCTGTACTTGTATGCGATAAAGATGTAATGAGTTTTATCAACTTTATCAGCATTATTCAGCCAGTTATTTATTATATACGTCAATTTATAGAGACACAAGCTGTGCCCGCAACTACGTTTGCATGTACTATTTAGAATAAATAACAACTTTCTAAACCTTATTTATTTATTTATTTTACACTTTATTGCACCAAGTAAAAAGAGAAATAACAAATACAGTAAATATTAATGAGAAGTGATACAAAAGGCGGCCTTATCGCTGAGCAATCTCTTCCAGACAACCTTCGGGTAGAGGACATTGAGAAAAAGACAAAGGGTAGGTGGCATTATTATATAAATATTATCATATACAAACATATATACATACATACATACACATACATGTATAATATATATACAATTAAATATATACATAATATAACAGCATACATACAAAAGATTAAAAAATGACGAAGGAAAACGAAGAGAGAACACAGGAAAATAGTACCTTGCAGTAGGTTAAAAGTGCTATTTCGTCTATTTTAATAAAGATGTTTTGAATTTGAATTAGAACTAGTTTATCGTGTTTAGAAATTTTGTGCAGCATTAAATTTTTTTTTTAATTATAATTTTTTTTTAATTTTGTAAAAAAATATAATATTTGTAAAATAATATTTTTACATCTTTGATAGGTATTTTTTAAACTTTGTATTGCTACACTATAACTACATTAATCATCATCGTATTCGCCGTTGACTATCCACTGCTGAACATTTACCTCCCCATAAGGATGGTTTTGCCAGTAGTTGCCACGCTTGGCAACAGCAATTAGGCTACAGTGATGTTTTAAAAGGTACACTTCTGTTCGTCCCTCGACCTCTTATAACAACCACGGGAAAGGAAAGAGTGGATTGATTTATGGAGAGACTTTTTTTACGTCATTTTGTCCCCCAAATGCCGCCTATATTTGGTTTTTGGGAACAAGAATATACTATGAAAATTACATTAATATCCGTCCAGCCGTTTAACAATAAACGAGTGTGCACAAACAGACAAATCTACAAATACACAGTGAATAATTTTAAAACCTAACTATTTAGCCATAAACTACATTTTTGTCTAAAATTTACAGTTTTGTGTTGATGGACAATTTCCCTTATATATATATATATATATATATATATATATATATATATATATATATATATATATATATATATATATATATATCTTTGCTTTTTTTATACAACATAAAATCGTAGAACCAAGACTCATCTCCAGTGATGATGGTTCAAAAAGTCACCATTCTCTTGGCTTAACCAGTCGCCTAAAGACACGAGCAACTCTTCGTGATTTTTGATCCGTGGACAAACAGGTAACGATTTCGCAAATTTTTTTTTCATTTGCCAGTTCGTTTCTTAGAATTTCGTGGACCACGATGTTATTCCTTCTGTACCTGTCTGACCGTTAAATTCACGGTCCCCAAATAACCATATAAGTTCTTTGATTATCGCGTGTGATTGACGTCTGAACGTGGGTCATGAACATCGGCCCTCTTATTTTATATGATAAATAATATTGTGATAAATCAAATATACTGTTGAGATAAGTATTTTTTTTTCGAGATTACTTTTTTTTTCAACACAGGGGGCAAACGAGATGCGGCTTTCGTTGATGGTAAGATGACTGACAAGCCCGCCCATGGTCAGACCAGAACACCTACGGACATTGCAGGTGTGCTGCTTACCTTTTAAAAAGGAATAATTCGCATTCCAGAAATAATAAATATTTATATATCATCATCTTTCTACCCTTATCCCAATTATTATTTGTGGTCGGCGTAATATGGTTTTATCCATATTACAAAGGGATTTGGCTTATAGTTTTAAGACCGGCCGCCTGTCTGACGTCAACACTCTTTGGGGATTTATATTTATATATATAAGATTTTATTTATCATTTTATATATAAGATATATATAATGATAAATATCTATAGATATGTAGATTATGTCTATACGTAGGAGATATTTAAGATTGTGTCCCACAAAAGAAACCGATTTCAGTTGTGATAAAACCAGTTATTTTAGTCTAAAACTTAAACTTCTGAACCGACTTTGATAAAATTTCTATGAAAACAATCTGTAAGTATATCCTTTGAGATAAAAAAAAAGATTTTTTCGGACGTTTTTTTTTTTATGAATATAAAACAACATCTTTGCCAATTTTGATCAGAATTTGATAATTCTATTGTCTAGAATTTACTTGTGTATTGGTTTCATATTATAGTATTTTGGGGCGATTGATCAATTGCTATCATTATTCTTTTAGTTTTTTAGTAATGGGGACTACCAGTTCCATTGCTAGCAATATACGCTATCAGATCCACCTCCACGTGGTCTCCCCTGGAAACCATCATGCTGAATTCCTGGCGTATTCGTCACCATGGGCTGACCTGTCTTTCCATCCTCACCTATCATCCCTCACTAGTACACCGCCGGCGGGGGATATGGATTGTTAGCAATGGAGTTTGACAGCCCCATTGCTAGCAATATGCCTATTATATATATGCCTAGCAATATATATATTAGGTCGACCTTCACGCGGTTCACCCTGGAAACCATCGTGAACAATTCTTGTTGAATTCGTCACGATGGGCTAACTGACCTGCTTCATCCTCACCTATCATCCTTCACTGGTGCCCCGCTCGTGTATACCGATAGCGCGGGCGAGGTTGCCATTCCATTATCATCCATTTTAAAAAAATAGTATCCCGCCAGCGTATACCTATAACACAGGCGGGATTACCATTTCATTATCAACTATTTAAAAAAAAATACTACAATCTAATGCCACATACAAATGACCTAACATATTTATACACGGATAGATAACAGAATATAAACTCGCTTTGGCATACGCATAATTAGTATCATAACAAACGTTTAGCGGTGCACACGCGCGCGATTTCCCGCCAAAACTAAATCGCGTTCAATCGAAAAATAATGTTATTTGATCTCCTCATTTAATCGAATACTGTTTTTATTATAAATACGTTCACAATAATAATATGAATTTAAATAAACTAATCAAGTTTCTCGTGTAAATAATAATTGAACAAACAACATTATTGCTGTGTGTATTTTGTATTGAAAAAGTGTTTTTGTTGTTGTTTTTTTTTTTTTTTTAAGTGTAAATGATACATTGTACTTACTATATGAAAAAATAGATTTTTAAGTGTTTTATATACATAATAGTGTTTTAAATTGTTTATCACAGATCAATACTAGGTTTATAATTTTAACTGATATTTATCTATCCAATTAGTTATACCTTTATCTGTTACTGTTCAATTGTTTACGTAGGGGGGAAGGGATTGTTAGTAACGGGTTGTAACAAACCCATTTCTAGCATTATACCCTATCAAGTCGACCTCTACGCGGTTCCCCCTAGAAATAGTCGTGGTTAATTCTTGTTGAATTCTTCACGATGGGCCGACTGACCTGTCTTCATCCTCACCTATAATCTATCATTGGTATCCCGCCTACGTATACCGATAGCGCGGGTGGGGTACCATTCCATTATCACCCGTTAAAAAAAAAATTTACGTATTTTTTTTTAGCGGGTTAGTAGATGGTTTTATCAGTAAACGTTGTTTTGTCCGTCAATAATACTTACAGGTGTATTTCTTCTTATCTAAACCTTAGAAGTTATCTCTTAAGCTCCCTGCCGAGGTTTTCACTAGAGGTAGGGCTGCCATCCGTACGGAATTCCCCGGATTTGCCCCAGTTTGAAGGGCGTCCGGGGGCCGTCCGGCACGGGTTTTTGAAAAATGTCCGGGTATCATGTATAACCCAATCATGTATATATATATATATCCAATTTTTTTATAGGTAGGCGATCAATTGAAACAAATCTTAGTTTCAAATTTATCCGTAATAATCCTGTTTTTATATAATAATGTTTTTATTTTTGTAACAAAAATAAAAAGTGTTCAGGGATAAAACAATGTTTCGCTCAAATGTCCGTGATTTTTGCTCTGTTTATCCGGTGTTGGCAATTTAGGTAATGGCAACCCTACTGCAGGCGTCCATAGGCTATAGTGAACGTTTACCATCAGACGGGTTGTATGCTTGTTTACCACCTTTATGGTATTAAAAAAGGTACTAGGAATTGTTGGCAAATGGAAAAGAGAAAAATGAGATGTTTACATTTCTTAAATGTTTCCAATTAACTTTTTTATAAAAACGTTTATTTTTAAAGAATATTTGAATAAAAAAATAAGTTGATCCATGTTATATATATGTATATTACACTTGCTGTATCCCGTGGCTTTACCCAGGTGAATCATGTATATAAAATATCCTAAGTAAGGTATAATCTAAGTAGAAAATTTTATTGAAATTAGTTTAGTAGTTTTTGCATGAAAGAGTAACAAATATCCATCCATCTATCGTTGCAAATGTTCCCATTTATTATATTAATAGGGTAATTATTATATACTTAGTAACTAACTCGATAGATGTTTTTTTTTACTGTATGAAAATGGAGTGGTAACTACGCCTGCGCTAACGGGATACGTTGACGGGGCACCAGTAAAGGGTGATCGATGAGAATGAAAACAAGCCAGTTAGTCCATCATGATGAATTTATCAGGAATTAATAATGATAGTATCCAGGTGGAACTGCGAGGAGATCGACCTGGTTGGATATATTGCTAGCAATGGCATTCTTAGTCTCCATTACTAACAATCCCTTTCCCCCCCACTCGATAGATGTATTCCTGTCCAAATTCCATGTTTTTATTCCAGTAAAATTTTATCATCGTATTTAATATATTGATATTATATTAGCTATTAACTGTCCACTGCTGGACATAAGCCAGCCCTGTAAGTAGTTGCTACGCTTGGCAGGCGGGTTAGCAACCGCAGTTAGACTTTGGTGATGTTTTAAGTGGGACGCTGCCGCCCATCCCCCAATTATTAAGTTCCTTTAGTCGTCTCTTACGACACCCACGGGAAAGAAAAAGGTGGCCTATTCTATGCCGGGACCACACAGTGAATAGTATTGTACTATTTAGTAATATTAAAAATAAAAATACGTACTCAAATCGGTCCAGCCGTTCGCAAGCGTCATGCTTGTCAATAAACAGTATTTAATATTTATTTATGTAAATATATAAAGTTATTATAACGTGAAAATTTTATAAATTACTCTGAATATTTATATATCTATTGTATAAGTATAGAGATTCTTAATTCTCTTGTATTATTTGTGTGTATGTTTCACCGTTTACCTTCGTCAGTTCAGCATTTTTTTTTATACAACTTAGAATGGCAAACAAGCTAATGGCCCACCTGATGGAAAGTGGTAGCCGTCGCCTATAGACATCAGCAGTACCATGAACATAACAGAGTATACTGTTACGCTCATGATACCCCCCATGCGTTACCATTCTTGAGGACTTAGGTGTTATTCCTCCGTACTCAGTAAATTCACGCCATATCCCACCCTTCTAACCGAAACACAGCCACAACTGCTTCACGGTTGAAACACGAATGGGACAGAGGTACCCAAGCAATCGTGGCGCGTTAACGATTATGCTATTTACGGTTTAGGTTATTTTTTTGCTATCGACAGGATTTATTTTTAATTTTATACTGTCAATACATTAAGATTTTCCCAAAAAAAAAAATGTGTTCATCTAATTTATATTTTGCTTCAATTTTTTTTTAATACGTTTACGCCATAAAAATCAAAATTTTCAGCGGCAGCTTAATAAGGACATTATTGCATGGTTAACATTTTATTTATAACAATGGTAACATTTTAGTTTGTGCATTTAAAAATATGGCATCTTGGCTCATAAGGACAAGTTTCCAGAGCCGTAAAGCGTCTTATTAAAAAAAAATGGACAGAGTAGTTTATATTTAATCAGACAAAAACATTGAAAAACGTAAAATTATAAAAAAGATGTACTTATTTTGATTTGATAATAATTTTATATGATATTAATTTTATATTGTACATGGCGTTATGGTAAAATATGAAATAATGGACTTGTGAAAAATATATTCATCTAATATATAATATAATTTGTATACTCATACTCGTGCAATAAATGAATTGAATTTGAATTTAAAGTTGTTTTTTACAATTGACAGATAATTGCGGTGTTGCCATACTTAAATATGAACTATCTTATTTAGTGTGGAAGTTTCAAAATTGTTTTTGTTATTTTTGAATTTACCTTTTTCGAAATTTTTATCGTAATGTATTTTACAGTATGGATAGATATGGGTAGTGTGGGCAACAAAGGAAACCAGGAATGGAAATTGGAAATATATGTATATTGGCGAAAGAAACTTAGAAGATTAGGAATCCCCGAAGGAATTCCTTTACGGGATGGAGGGATTGTACAAAGTCTCCCTCTGGTGAGGGAAGGGTGGGATATGGCGTGAATTTACTAGGTACAGAGGAATAACACCTGAGTCCTCAGGAATGACAACGCATGGGGAGTATCATGGGCGAAACAGTATACTCTGTTATGTTCATGGTACTGCTCATGTCTATAGGCGACGGTTACCATTTTACATCAGGTAGGCCGTCAGCTTGTTTGCATTCTAAGTTGTATAAAAAAAAAAACAGAAACAAAAAAAAAAGAAATTATTCCCGAAGAATAGATCCAGTGAAGGGAAGCCGAAAGGAAACAATAGAGACGCGTGTCAATTTTGGAAATTGGTAAAAAATAATATTAAAACTATAAATAATATATGTGGCCTGTACTCCACAGGTAGATTTTGGGGTTAACACCCTATATATAGAGCACATAGCATGTGAATTCAAATCCTTGTATGCCATACGACCATTAACATAAAGGTGTTGCCATAACTTGATAACAAATGAAGGTCAATGAGTCACGATAATGGTAACTAATTAGAACAAAGGAAATCACAGCTTAATAATAGAGCACTCAGAGGTTGAAGTCAGTTAACGAGGTTAAGCAACGGTAAGTCTTTTGGATGGGTTATCGTCGCGTGTTAATGTGATAATGACCTTGTCACGATACGTAACAAATCTTAAAAGTATTTGAACTATTTTGTTATTATATAATTATATTTGAATAAAGAGGTATTCCTATCTTTTTATCTATAATTTGTTAGGTCTAAATGTAATGTAAGATAAGCGGTTTGCACATTTCACAGTAGGTAAACGTAGTATGTAGTTTGTGATGTAACTAATTCGAATGAATTAAATGTTAAACGGTAACTTGTCAAATTTTAATACATAATAATTTTTTTTTCAAACATGCTTGGAAATGTGAGCATTGGAAATGTGAGAAAACGAAAGTTGGGAACTTCCTTCTTTTTTAAGTCGTTTGGAAAAAGTCCCTACGAATGCATTTCTCGATAAACCAGTAACACGCTCCCACGTGATAATAATTCAGTCCGTTATTGTTCATGACTGCTATTGTTTATTGATTTAAAAGAAACATAAACATAGCAGTTAGTCATTGTAAGTACAAAGAAAAACCTGCATACTGGATATATATTAATAACAACACGAGCATACAATACAGCAACCACAATATAAACCACAAGGATAAGTTTATAGGGGGGAAAGGGATTGTTAGTAATGGAGACTAAGAATCCCATTGCTAGCAATATACCCAACCAGGTCAACCTCCTCGCGATTCCCCCTGGAAACTATCATGATTAATTCCGGAAGAATTCATCGTGATGGGCTAACTGGCCTGTTTTCATCCTCATCGATCATCTTTCACTGGTGCTCCGCCAGCGTATCCCGTTAGCGCAGGCGGGGTTACCATTCCATTTTCATTCAATAAAAAAAAACAAGGATAAAAAGTGCCTGTATTTTTATATCATAAAGATTACTTGTACGCCATATTTCATATTTTTCATCTCTGCATTAGTTTTTTATTTTAATAGATGATAATGGAATGGCAACCCCGCCTTCGCTAACGGTATACGCTGTCGAGGCATCAGTGAGGGATGATAGGTGAAGATGAAGCAGGTCAGTTGGCCCATCATGACGGATTCAATAATAAATCAATCATGATGGTTTACAGGAGGAACCATGGGGAGGTCGACCTAATAGGGTATATTGCTAGCAAT